CCGGTCTGTGACTGCATGCAATGTGAAAGACGTCTCCAGTGGCAGGCTGCATGCTTGTGTGTTGCAAAGCACATGCACTCCATCATCTGCCTGCTGCCCGCTGCTGCTCTATATAGACAGGTGTTCGCAAGCAGGGCTACAGCAGCTCGCTTTGTGCAGAGCATCTGTGCTATATCCGGCCGTGCAATGGCAGCTGCTTTCCTTCGACAGCTGAACCAGCTCCTCCAGACCCAGCAGCCCATCATGGGAGATCAATGGACTTCTCTCTTGGCTGCTCAGAGCGAGGTCGCCATCAGAACGATTCGTCAAAGCCACATCACAGTCGAGGAGGGTGCAGAGATCTGCAGCTTGGTGCAGCAGGGCCTTTGGTCACACGAGCAGAAGCAGGCCCTGGGTGCAGCCGTCTCCCAGACCTTGGCAGGCAGCACTCCAGCAAATGCCAAGGCCAAGAAGAAGAACCAGGAAATTCTCAACTTCTGGGGTTTCTTGGGCGCCGAGGACCGGAGAGTTTTGTCCAGCGACGACACCCTCGTCATGAGGCTGACTCACACTGCTCAGATAATGGCTCGACTGGAGATGTTCTGGCCATCAGAACAGTCTGTGGGACACATCATCAAGACCCTGCAGAGTTGCAACAATACTGGCTTGCAGAGCCCCGACGAGTTCCATTCGGCTGTCGTGTGCCTCAAGAAGAAGGTGAAGACCATGCTCAAAGATGCTTCCTGTGGCGAGTTCGTCGCCAAGTACACTCGGCCTGAGGATCTTCCACCACACACCCGAGATCGCTTCGCAGATGCCTTGGGAGGTGAGCTGCCTGGAACAATGGTGCTGGCCCGTGATGCTCTTCGTGGCAGTAACAAAAGCCTCTCTTTCCACAAGAGCAACACTGCCATGGTGCTGGGTGGTCCAGCAGCAGGCCCGGCAATGCACATGCCCCACACCATGCAGGGTATGATGCAGTTCTGGGGCAGCATGGCAGCTAACATGTTCAACCAGCAGCAGCAATTGGCGAAGAAGAACGATGGATTGCCTGGGTTGAAAATCTTCGGCGACCCAGCTGCTGCCGCCTCGTCTGGGACGATGGCCTCCTCGCCTGCTCAACAGCAGGCCTTGCAGCTTCCTACAGTTACCAATGAACCGGCACAGGGCAGCGGAACAAAGCAGGCCGAGCAACAGGGAGTGCTGGCCAGCAAGGATCCTGTCAGTGCTGCACAACATGCAGATGAAATGCTTCAAGCTTGGAAGGGCGACAACAAAGGGTTCGACAGCACCGTCGAGGCCGAGGCCAAGGAAAACGAGGCGAAGCACAAGGCAAATAAGAAGCCCAAGGCTGCAGCCAAGGCCAAGGGTAAAGCCAAGGCCAAGGCTAAGGCGAAGGCCAAGTGCACGGCCATGAAGTCCCAGCCCAAAGCAAAGTCGCAGCCCAAGGCGAAGGCCAAGGCTGCTTGCAAGGCGAAGGCGAAGTCGCAGCCGATGAAGGTCCAGAAGGCTTTGCAGAAGTTCACTCGAGAAGAGGTCCGATGCATGACTTTGTCGGCTCGCATCAAGCTGCGACCCAATGGGTGTGGCAAGTGCCGGAACAGGCCCGGCTGCACACCGTCGTGCTTTGGCCCGTGATTGCATCAACAGCTGCTGAAAGCATGCACAGCTGGAGTCCTATATAGGGTGAGAGTTTGGAGGCTACAGGCAGAGTGTATACATCTTAAGTCTATATGCATGTTGACGTGTTTTGGTGTCTTCCAGCATCAGCAAAGTTTTGTTCGCGAGCCTCCAGGAAGCATGCACCTTATTATTCATCTTTCACAAAGGCTGTGTGTACATTAAAGCCATTGTACCTCGGGAGGTATAATGTTGGGAGCATCGCTTGCCACGGAGGGAAAGACCGAAGCGATCCTGGCAGGTGTCAAAAGCGGTGGTGCAGGATGCCTGCACGATCCGGGTTTTTGTTTCGTGGCATATTATATATGTGTTATATACATATATATACATAGATATACTTTACATATGGGATGTATATATATATATATAGGAGCCTATATATACTTATATATATATATATGGGTTGAATATATATTGATATATATATATATACACACATATATTATACAGGGGTGTCCTTTTAGGAGGGTGCGAATGTGGACCCTTCTTCGAGAGCTATGTTGAAGCTTTCGAGTTGTACATGTATATATTATATATGGCTTTGCGATTTATTAAGATGTGTCTCAGGATCACGTTTGGTGTTAGGTTAGGTTTGGTGTGGTATATACTATATATATATAACTGTATATACATGTATATATATGTGTACAAATCAATACTCGGATGCTATATATCTATAGCTTTCGGGTTTCTGTGTATACATATATATATATATATATCAAATATTTAGTTTCGGGTTTATGGTTAAAGGTTGTCTTGGCCTTGCACTGGAGTTTCCCGGACTGCTCGCAGTGGGGTTGCACCGTTGCAGCAATGTGCTTGGAAACCTGCAGGAACAAAGAGCATGCATATATACATGTAAACAAAACATATCTCTGTATATATATATATATATATATAGATATATAAGGTACGTACACAGTGCCTGCATGCTCCCATCCACTTTTCCTATATATAGTATACCTTTTATACAGATATACATATATATATATGTATGAATCTGCAGTCAAAGTAGTGGGTCGCTCGGCAGGGCCAAGAGCTCGCCAGCAGACCCCATGGCTTCCGCCGGGAGCTCCTCGCTCTCCTGCTTGGGAAGGAAATCATATGTATCCCAGCGAGGTCTCAGTCAGGTCTTGCAGGAACTCAAAGAGCTGCCCGAGTTGCCATCTGGGACGAGTCGCCGAACACTGAAGCGGGCCCGGGATGAGAAGACTCGGAGCTACCAAACTGCTTATGGCGAGATCCTATGCGACTTCAAGTGTGTTGCCGAAACTGGTGTGGAGTTTGAATTTCCTGTCTTGAACCCAGCTGCAATGCTTGCCTGGGCGACAGAGCGATGTCGACCATTTGGCGAGTTCCTGGAGAGGGCCATGGATGCCACACCCCCCAGCATTCTTCAACCATGGGGATTGGTGTGGTATTCCGACGAGCTGGCTCCGGGCAACCAACTCAAGCACTCCAACCGGAGAAAGGTCCAGGCCGTATATTGGAGCCTGCTCCCTTTGGGACAGCATGCAATGGGTTGCGAAAATTGCTGGTTCACTCTCTGTGCCATTCGCAGCTCTCTGGTCGCAGATCTCGGCGGCATGACTGTGCTCTTCAGGCAGCTAGCAGCCTTGTTCTTTGAGAGACCTGACTTCAGAAAAGGTCTTGTGTTGCAGTGCCCTGGACAAGCACGTATGCTCTTTGCCGACTTGAAGATCATCATATCCGACGAAGCTGCAATTAAGGCTACCCTTTTCAATAAAGGAGCCAGTGGGCTCATATTCTGTGTTCAATGCCAAAACGCCGTGGACCACAAAAGCAGCATTGCTGAAAGGAGTCGGGGCAATATGGTGTCCGGCCTGGAAACCGACATGAGTTGCTTTCGGATGCACACACCCGAGTCTATACGAGACACCATGGACTTCTTGCGAAGGCAAGAGAGGGTCCTCAACAAAGACAGATTCCTGCAACTCCAAACAGCAATGGGGTTCAATTTCAAAGAGGATGGATTGCTGGCACATGCAGCATACGGGCCTCCGGTCATCGAGTGTGTGATGTTCGATTACTTCCATGTCTATTTAGTCAATGGCATCTTCAATGTTCTGACAGGGTTTTTTCTTGGAGAGCTTCACAACCATGGCTGGAAGCACAATGACATTGATCGCTTCGCAAATGGTTTTACCTGGCCTTCTCGTTTGCGAGGTGCTGCTGCAAAGGATATCTTGCAGAAGCGAAAGCCAAGCGAAACCTTGAAGTGTGGAGCCAGCGAGGCTCTGAACTTTATGCAGCTGCTGCGACTCTATGTGCTAGTCTTTGTGCTGCCAAATTGCAGCAGAGATATCCGGGACTCTTGCGAGGTTTGGTTGGCTTTGTGCAAGGTGATTGATGCTTTGCAAGCGATCAATGCCAAACCTTCAGCATTTACCCCCCTGCAGTTGCAGCAGCTCATCAAAAGGCATCTCGATCTGGCGAAAAGTCGGTATGGAGATGAGTGGTGGGTGCCAAAGTGTCACTTGGCAGGCCATTTGGCGCTGCAACTGGCCAAGCATCAGGTCCTCCTCAGCTGCTTTGTGCACGAAAGAAAACATAAAATCATCAAAAAAATTTCGAATGAAATTTTGGATACAAGCAGAACCTTTGAGAGGAGCATCCTACAAGATGTACTCCATGGTCACATGGAAAGTCTGGCAGAGGGTGTATACCTCCCAGGCCAAGGAGTTCGCTTGGTCGACCCTGTGAGACCAGCTCCTGCCAGATTGCAAACAGAGATACACAACACGATCCGGGTCCAGGGTGAAGTCTTCACAGCCAGGCAGGCAGTGCATGGAGGAAACTTCACCGTGGCTGTCGGCGACTTGGCCTTGATGGATCTGGATGGGGTCACTGCCGTAGGCAAAGTGGCTTATCATGTAATGTGCGAGAAAGTTGTATGGTCGCACATTACCTTCTGGACACATGTCCATGGCTGTATGTATGAAGTCTCCGACGATTGTGGCCTCGTGCAAACCCGACTGATCCGGGCCACATGCCCTTACAGCATTTCGGGCAATGCTGCCATTGTCGCAGTCCCGCAGGTGTAAAAAAGAGAACTGCATGCGAGCTTTAAAGCCCTGCATTGCGTCTCTGAGCAGCATGCTTCATGCAACTTAGATCACTTAGCTCACTTATCTTTTTCATATAAATACACTTAGCTAACCAAGTTAACTTCAACATAGCTAAGTTCAATAACTACACTTACACATCTCATATAAGTCATTTGCTAACTGTGCCAAACAATTAACAACCTGCATATACAATTACTAACACCCCCGCCCCTTCAAGAGAAATTTAGCTTTCATGGTCTAGCACACGTGCAGGTGGGCAAGCACGTGGGACTCTTGGTGGCCCCAATAAAGGCCAAGGACCGGGCCTACGAAAAGACGGTCGACGACTATGCCAAAGATCCCTCTAAGCATGAGAAGCCCGCAGCAAGGTATGTGAGCCTTGTCCCGCAACCAGACCAACTTGGGAGCCTTGAGCCAATCCCTGAACCACCAAATCTTCCGTCGGCCCTGTATGCTCTTATAAGCCAAGAGGGTGCGGCATGGAAAGGAACCCGGAACCAAGGTGCGACTTCCTGCGAGCGACCATCTTTGCTGCAGATCCGTTCGTGTTGGCCGTGGCTTTCCGCCAAGTGGAGAAGGCCTTTGATATAGTGCGGGTGAAGAACAAGTTCATCAACGAGAAGCTCCCTCCGGAGGAGCGCACCAACATTCTTGTGAACCTCCACGTGAAAGCCGAAGGGAGGCCCGCTTAGTGACTGACGTCTGGAAGTTGTTGGTGGCGTGTGTAGCATGTCATAGCATGTTCCGGGTTTTGGTGTCGAGCTTGCCTGCGCATCACGGGACATGCAAACGCCTAAGGCTCTGTGGCCAATTCCTAGCGTCCGCTGTACATTTTGTCGGACTGGCATCAGGCGTGATGAGCGTTCACAAATCGGCGAGGTACAGTTCCTGCTGCAAGATTACCTCACTGCTTTTCGGCTAATCGGAACAAGTACTTCACCAGGAATATAGTCTTGAGGAAAAACTTGGATGCAGGGGTTTGAGGGAAAACTTCAGCACTGAGCTCCTCGTCCACAGCTTAGAAATCCATCTCGACGCATGTCCTCTTGGCTGCTGCTACTGGGGTCGGTCCTGCAGAATCAAGCCTCGACGTGAAAAAATAGGAGGATCAAAAGACGGACCTTTCTTAGGAAGATCTGAAGAAGGCTCTGAATGAGGGATCCTCAAAATCACAAAGAGGTAGGCCGCATGCCGAATTGTTCAAAAAGGGGCGCCGTGTGCACCCCTGATGTTTGCAAGGGTCTTCAATCCAGCACTGTGGGTGCAAACCTCTCGTCACATTTTGAAGACCCATTTGAATTATATGGTTAGGGTTTAGGGCCGTTAAAGTGCCTTCTACTCGCATCACGAGGCCAAAGATCTGCAACACTTGTACTACGACGTGTCGCGCGCCGACAAGCCAGGCCGGCGCCCGTCCCTAATGCCAACCCCAGGCCCCAAAGCATCTTCTAGAACGAAACTCCCAGCTAACCCAGAAGCCCTACGTAACCCCGTCAAACCCATGGACGTTTTAGGGCTGTGAGTTCTGGACGGCGGACTTGCGCAGGTTGATCCGAGATTGGGTTTAGGGCTCAACATCTCAGGCCGCAGCGCTTGAAGTGGCTTGGGATTTGCATACGTGTTCTGCTCACTCCAAACAGGTTGCTACTGCAAGCAAGGTTCACTTCACTGATAGGAAAGCGGTCTGTAGCATCAAACCCTGCTAGCTGGAGGTCGTTCTGCAGTCAAGGCCCTTTCTAGATACTGACGAAGGAGTAGAAATTCCGCAGCTGACATTGATGACGGATAAAGTGTCACTTCGCTCTTGCGGTCAACATGCGGAAGGAAGACACGGGGTTGGCACAAATTGAATCCGCAAAAGGGCTCGAAGATCGGTTCATGACTCAAGAGGGTTTAGGGATTAGAGGGTCTTTAGGGTTCAGGATGTAGGGGCCGCAACTTGTTCTGATGAAAACTAGTTCCGCCGTCTTGTGCTGTCAGTTACTTGAATTGCCATGATAAAGTTTCGACTTCAACTTTCTTGCATTCCGTAGAAGTCTCGGGCCGTGTACCATCTACCTACATTCCCTCAACCCACCATCCGAGAAGTTTTAAGCTGTTTACCTCAAGCCAGAGCCGATCCCTTCCAGCCGGAGCCCCACTTAGGGGAGAGCTCCACATAAGTCAGTTCTGTTGGGTCGCGGATACCTCTTGCAGCTTCCTTTCAATTGTGCTGTAGGGTTTGGGAGTTAGAGTTTTGGGTTCAGAAGACATGACCGTGTAGATCCTCCCGGCTCAGATGCACTGCTGGACAAGCCCATCTTCCTCTGAAGCCGTCAGCTGAGCACTTTGCGCCACCAGAGCGGAAAAGATTGTTATGGTCCGTTGCTTGGTCTGTGATTGCGTAGTTAGTGGACTTGAAGTGCTAAACTCGGTCGGGGAGCTATTGGATCAGGAGAGTAGAAAGTTCTACAGCCGCAGAACAGAGAGTCATGGCGACACTGCGGCATAAATCGTATGGCCTTACGGGTCCAACTGTTTAGACAGGCATCAGATGCACCAAACAGAAAGGGCATTAAATAGCAACCAATTTGGACCCAAAGTCTATACTGATTGAGTACTAGCCCAATTTCTGTCCTGAACCTGCAGCATCCGAGCATTCTACTATTGGGAAATTTTGGTAGACTCTGCAGCTGGGGTTTCCTGCATACTGCATCCTCACGGCTACCGCCTCACACCGTATTTCCGAAGTTGAGGTTGGCCTCATAAAAACCCGGCTTACAGGATTCAGGAGTAAAGATTTACACATAATTTGAATTGGCAACCCTGAAAAGCCCGCGACCTTGATCCCTAAGGCTGCATAGGAAACTGCTCGAGCAGTAATTCCCAAAGACTGAAGCCCAAAATCAGTTCCCCCAGGCTCCGTGTATCCATATAGTGTATACTTGGGCCTTCTTGGGCTAGTTCCGATGAGGGTACTTTACGCTTAAGTGTCTACTTTATGGGTATATGGAGTCTTACTTACCTGGAGTTTCATGGGTAGTTATACGCGGAGTTATAAGTCCCCGGATATGAGGGGTTGAGGATGTAGGGTTTGTGGCTTTGGTTATTTAGTTTACGGTCCCTGAATAGGGAACTGCAGGGTGCAGCCGTTCGGGGCTACGGCTTCAAAAGACTTCGTAGTCGGCGTGTTTTCTGGCACACCCTAAACTCTAAACCCTAACATGACCTCCAAGTGGGGAAAGCTAGTTACGAGGATCATGTCACCACCCTCTTGAAAGGCCATACGTGGTGATGGAACATCTGCCGGGGCAGGTCTGGGTGCAGAGTGTTCAGGATTTAGGGGTTTTAGGGCATAGGCTCAAGGGTGAGAGAGTTTACGAGATGAAGGTGTCAGATGAAGCCTCATGGGGAGGTCTGATGTGGTTCTACCTACCTGCTTCGTGTTGTCAGCAGCCGTTTTCCTAGGCAAGTCACGTGATCCAACTAGTAGTATTGTTTAGGGATTTACTTCGTTTATGTGTTGGGGCGTCGGCGTTTCGGATTGCGAGTTGGGGGCTAGCGTGTGCTGAGGTCCAAAGACCCAATGCTGCTGATGGACAAAATTCTTCATGACCCTTGTAATGAAGAGTCATGATGCCAGTAGTCCTGCATCGTCCACTTCTATGCTTCTGGCTGTTCTTGAACAGGTGCCATGAAGGCTTACATTAGAGTCTTAATCATCTGTTTGGGTTTACTCCCGATAAGCCCGGCACCTGTAAAACTTGTTCAAAGGCTGGGACTAGGATGCTGCAAGCTACTCTTGACTGAGAAGAAACTGATCAAGAGACCATGTGTTCCAGACCCCGAACGTAGTAGGATCCATGTTAAGAACCCGAATCACCAAGCACACGAGGTTTCTGATCCAGCTTCTTGCTAACGGAAACCCTACGTGTAACTAACCAAACTCGCAACTTACCTTGCAAGTCCCCTTCCAGACCCTTTAAAACAGCCATGGAGAGGCTAGAAGGCCAAGAAAGCAACCCGGGTTTAAGGTTTAGGGTTAGATTTCATAGCTAAAACGTCCCAGATCCTAAATTCTAAAGCCGAAAACCCCGAGCTTTTAAAGCATTGATGGCTAAGTTCCAAAGCCCAAAACCATGACATACTACATTCTAAAGCCCGCAACCCCAAGTCAAGAAGCCGGCAACCCCAACTTCAAAAGCATTAACTACTAAATTCTAAAGCCCGAAACCTTAAATTCGAAACCCCTAGAGACAACAGGTTCTGAAGAGCTCGGAAACCTGCAGATGCTCTCCTAAACCCTGAACCCTAATCGCTACATTTCCCAAAGCTGCAGATGCTCTGGGACTTGACCTGTACCAGAGCCAGGTGCTTTTCGGGGGGTGCAAGAACGGCGATTTCCCATAGAACCCAAGGGGTTGAGGGTTCAGGGTTAGGGGTTTAGGGCCGTTCAGGGTTGAGGGTTTTAGGTTGAGGGTTCAGGGTTTAAAGGTTTCAAGGTTTAGGGTGTTAGGGTTGAGGGTTCAGGGTTTAGGGTTGAGGGTTCATGGGTTTAAGGGTTCAGGGTTTTAGGGTTGAGGGTTCAGGGTTCAGCGCCGTTTAGGGTTGAAGGTTCAAGGTGTAGGGCTTCGGGTTCAAGGTTTAGGCTTTAGGATTTCTCAGGGACCCCAAGTGGGTTGAGGGTTTAGGGTTAGGGTGTAGGGTTAGCATGAAGCCCAAAGGAGGACTTAAACAACTGCTTCCGTAAGTCTAAGCAAGAAGCAAGCAGGAAGAACATTCCTTAGCCCAGGGCTGTTGAAGCCTCGAGGCAGAACTCGCAGGTTTATCCTCACCTTTACAGGGCTGAAGGGTTTACTGAGTCTAGAGCACCCGCACTACGACTGCAGGTCGGGCGCCTGGCTGATCCCTAAACCCTAAGCCTAAAACCTAAACCCTGAACCCATGCAGGAAGCACTTGTTGACGAAAGCCGTCGCACTCCAGAGCACAGCAGCGGAAGCCAATAAAGCCCTAAAGGGTCCATGTACCCAAATAGTCTATACTTTGCCCGGACAGTATTCCATATATAGGTATTGGATAACAAGTATACACTTTGCCCGGAAAGTATTCCCTACTTGTATGTAGGTACTTTGGGCCCAGAGTAGATACTATTTGGGTACATGGACTGTTGGGGTTCAAGCCCTGCGAACTACTCAGACCCCGCCAAGTACCCTCTGTTGCACAGCCTGGATACGTACCAACCTGCAGTGGTAGAAATAGGAGTTCGATGAGCTGGCTGAGCTCGAATGAACGAGTTGCGTTCATTTTTACCTACGGCCTACGAATAGGCAGCACCAAGTCGTCGTAGGGATGCAGCTGTGGTTGTTACCGACTCACTAAACCCTATAAACCACGGAGCCCACACTTTTATCGAAGTTACCTTTGCACATCTGCACTTGTTCACAACACAAAACCCCTTCGCTGGATTCCTTGTCACATAACATAGGGGCCCTACTAATTAGAATGGGGTGGGGGGGGTATCACCGCCGGATTCCCTGTGCAGCAAGCAGGTCCATCAAGAAGTTGAAGCCTCTCTCAGATGAGGCCTCGCAGAACCTGTGATGCCAGTGTTTTGACCAGCTCTAAACCCTCAACACACCTACATAAACCGTAAAGTCTAGTACCTAAACCCTAAAGCCCAATCAACGGCGTATAAACCGTGTAGTCTAGACG